ATTACAAAGCAATGTTACGAAGGCATGTCGAAGTATGCGGTCGAATGCCTTCTTGCGGCGAGAATCGCTAGTGCGCGCATCAACGAGATGTAAGGCTGAGGCAAGCGCATTTACACTTCTAAATGACAGAAAGTCGCTTGAACAATACGTCTGCGTTTCCGCGGTCAATACAGCTTCCCTGGGAATCTGGTATCAATACAGTTGCCTATATGAATACCGGCATCCAGCACAACACCATCTACTCAAAGTTAGTACGCTTTATGCTACTGACACATGCTACTAAACTCCCATGACACCCGAACTACGATATCCGGTCAGCAGCTCTTATGATACGAACCAGAAGCCATTATAATGATCTGAGACAGTACGTCATATCCGCAAATCCTAGCAATTCAGACCCAACGCTATATGGCTAAATGAAAAATCCTATACGATTCACAATCGCAGATAAATGACCATTACACGAGTATTAAATTGGTCTGCGGTTATACATATACACCCTATTGCAGAAGCGAGCCAGATTACTACCGCTATACACCCTCTGGAGGTATATACAGGTATATACACATAAGTAGCATACCTTGAAGAAACCCATATTATGCAAGTGTGTGACGTGAGAAACTCAAATTCGAGCCCTTCGAAAAGTTAGGAAACATATGCAGGCCCATACGCTTTTATATATGCGTGACCACCACGCACAACGACACCTTTCACAGCAAGGCTTACCTCCAGCCTGTGGTTTGCTGTTCGTCGATTTGTTCCAAATAGGTTTGTCCTCGTCACTGTCCATATCACCGAGATCGCTGAGCTCTCCAGCTGTTCAACGATGGATTGTATGTATAAATAAGTGCCCAGTAAATTCACTGAGAGTGATGGGATACTCTATCAAGGCCGAGCTCTCCACAAATATTGAAGTATGTTAAAACCACACGTGAGAAAATAACGTCTTCAACAGCATTTGAGTATGTATAAGGCAACAGTGGCACACCCAAGCAGTCATCCATATACCTACACAGCCCAATAGCAACAGCAAGCACACATTAAACTTATAAAAAATAGTACACCAACAAATAGCGCCATTTTCAAGTGTAAATTATCATCCAAAGAGATACATAGAGCCAAACGCAACCGTAACGCGTACGTCGATGTTCGTCCTCGCACGCAATCCTTGTGCGCATACAAGATTGAATATACGCCAACCTAAACATGCATGCGAAGGTATATATAAAGCGAACAAACAGAAGCATTCCTTTGTAGTTTCAAACAAGCCATTTGAATCAGATGCTGTTCCAAAATCCATTGAATGTCATCCGTGGATCAACCAGTGCTACATCCCTCAGATGAAACTCAACATCCTGCACACGTCTCACAACACGTGCATGCAAGGCATACGTATCAGCCCCAAATCAATCCAAATACACTGACTATTTTAAGGCCCATGTGAGTATAAGTACGGCCGCCCACTTACAAATTGGTTTGGCAGTCTTGTTGCCGTTGCGCTGCTTCTTCTTGGGGATCTTGAGTAACGCGTTATCTTCATCATTCTCCGCCGGGGCATCGAGCGACTGAACGATATCAAAAACAAACCAAACCAAAACGTTTGCAGTTAGGACTATACGTTGTCAAAGTGTTGTGCTGATAAACATACACACACAAACCCATCTGCAACATCAAGAAATATACACGACTCCATATGGGTACATAGCAACACCGACTTGCGCCTCCCCCATGGTCCCACATAGTATATATGTACATATACATATATATATATGAAGCCCATTGCTTACATGTATACACACATACTACGAGGGCGCAGTGCGCTAATTCATACATAAGGTGAACTAACCCCATACCCTGCACATACACATACACCTACATACGAACATCAGCACCCACCCACAGGATCATCGGTTCATAAGAAACACACCCAAAGATAACACTACCGCATACTGCACACTGCTCATACCTCAGGCAATGTTGTCATTTTACCACTGACGCGTTTTAACCTTTTCCTTGGCCCAGGATCTTCGTCAACTACAGGTGTGTCGTTCGTAGCTTCGACCACATCCGTACCGGCAACACTGACCGCACCTGAACCCGTAAATTTGAGACCGGTCCTTTTCCTTGCTCTTGAAGTCATGCCCTTTGGTTTCTCTTCCTCTGGGTCGCTGGTCTCTACATTTCTGCGAGATCGTATACGGGACAGCACACCCGATTTAAAGTCTATAGTTTTGGTTGGCATACTCGTGGTGGTAGATCCCCTTCTCCCGGAACTCCGTGTACCCACTGAGCCGCCACTCGGTGATAGTCGACCGGAGAGCTTGCTACTCGATAATGGTCCACTTCCGGGCGTTTCGGGTATCGTTTCGGTCGTGGATCTCCTGACCGCACGTGTAGACCTCGTAGTGGTGGTCTTCTCTTGGTTGCTCACATCATCAGCGCTCTCATTCAGTTTTGTCTCACTACCAGGCATTTCAGGTAACCACTTCTGCGCTTTACGCTTTCGTTCTTTGGGCTGTATAACATCCTCCTTATCTTCAGCATCACTATCTACATGCTCATCCGTATTCTTCCCACAATCTCCCACTATATCCGATGCCTCCTTACTCGCAATCAACTCATTCTCGGGCATTTCAGGTAACCACTTCTGCGCTTTACGCTTTCGTTCTTTGGGCTGTAAAACATCCTCCTTCTCTTCAGCATCACTACCTACATACTCATCAGTATTCTTCCCACAATCTCCCTCTATATCCGATGCCTCTTTACTCGCAATCAACTCATTCTCGGGCATATCAGGTAACCTCTTCTGCGCCTTACGCCTCCAGCTTTTCACCTGTACATCTTCCTCCTTCTCATTCGCATCGCTACTTTCATGGTCGTCCTTAACATTCTTTCCGTCAACCTCTACATCCGAAGCCATCCCACTCGCAACTAACGGACTGTCGGGCATGGCTGGTAATTTCTTCTGCGATTTCTTCTTCCGGCTTTTCACCTGTATATCAACCTCCTTCTCACCGGCAACACCATCCCTATCCATAGCCGAAGCACTATCGGACAAGTCCGGAAACTTCTGCACCTTGTTCTTCCCACTTTTGGGCTGTACAACTACTTCTCTCACGTCCCCATCCCCGTTCTCATCGTTCACGCCCTCCTTATCATTATCGTGCTTCGTATCATCAAGTGATACCTCACTCGTCACCTCCCCACTCCCGGGGAAGTCCTTTCTCGGTCGCTTTTTGTGCGGTTTAAGCTCACCTATCTGTTCAATACTACTACTGCCTCCCCCAGGGTCCATTGGGTCAAACACACCATCCGCGTCTTCGTATTTCTCGCCGGGTTCTTTCTTGTCCGAGGCGTTTCTCTTTTCTCGTGACGGACTATCCATTCCCCGCTCAATATTCCCCCTACCACTGTCCTTGGGCAGCTCCAAGATCTCCCCGCCAGCATCGCTAGCGTCATCGGAGTTATCCAATGCACAACCCGAAGTTCTAGTCCTACTCTTACTACTCGGCTCCTTTCGTGCATGTTCACCCCTCCTACTCGGATTCTGTCTATGATTAAATATATCTCGCATGGTGCCCGTACTGCATGCAGTTGTCCCGTTTTTCTTACTTTTAGTCTCGCTTTCCGAAGTCGGACTATCTGCACTTCTCAGACTATTCCTTCTCCTCGCCGGTTGATTGTCGCTCCTGTTCCCCTCTCCACTGACACTTCTAGACCGGTCCCGGGTTTCAGATGAAGGTGCACCAGAAGCATACCCCGTGGAAGACCTCCTATCGCTGTCGAAGTCATCGTCACTGCTCGCTCCATCTGGGGTAGGGGTTAGGACATGTAAGTGATAAGATATGAGTTAATTGGTATGATACGTGTTAAGTGTTAAGATATGCTCGCTCCATCTGGGGTAGGGGTTAGGACATGTAAGTGATAAGATATGAGTTAATTGGTATGATACGTGTTAAGTGTTAAGATATGTGTTAAGTGTTGAGATATGTGTTAAGTGTTAAGATATGTGATGCGTGTTAAGATATGTGTTAAGTGTTAAGATATGTGTTTAAGTGTTAAGATATGTGTTAAGTGCTAAGATATGTGTTAAATGTTAAAATATGTGCTGAGTGCTAAGATATGTGATAAGTGTTAAATTATGTGTTGAGTGTTAAGATATGCGTGAAGTGTTAAGATATGTCTTATGTGTTAGGATATGTGTTAAGTGTTAAGATACGTGTTAAGTGCTAAGATATGTGTAAGTATTAAAATATGTGTTGAGTGTTAAGATATGTGTGAAGTGGTAAGATATGTCTTAAGTGTTAGGATATGTGTTAAGTGTTAAGATACGTGTTAAGTGCTAAGATATGTGGAAGCATTAAAATATATGTTGAGTGTTAAGATACGTGTTAAGTGCTAAGATATGTGTAAGTATAAAAATGTGTATTGCTGATCGTGTGAGCCCGTCCGGTGGGAAGGGTGAGCAAATGAAGAAAGATGGTTCACAAAAGTTGAAAGTTGAGGGCAATGCATACGAATAACTAATTCTTTCGAGATTGTTTCACCGCTAAAGAGTTTAGCTACCACAAGCTACTGTATGCTCATACTTGAATCCTTGAGCACGCAGATGTACCTACATCTACATCAGAAGCGTTGCTAGATGACCACATGTACTGCACTTACCACTGTCGGTTGCTGCACGGTTCTTCTCTCTCTTTGAGCTTGTAAGGAGTGGCGCCCCTCGTTTGGTTTTGGCTGATTTGACGCTTGAATTAAAATTGTTGACATGTTCCCTCCTAGTGTAGGTAGGTGCATACACAGAGTGTTCAGGACCAACTAAGTTATCAATACAAGATTACATGCAATTTCATGCTAGAGTTTTGCAATAGAAACAATACAACTTCAGTACGATGCATTTCTTTTCCTACCGAAAGCTAATCCACATGTGATGCTGCACAGGTACACGAATATTACACCATGGCAGAGTGTCCGTAAGTAATACTCTACGCAATATTTACCTGCATAGCCCCGCTGTGTACATATAACGTGTGTACAAGTATCGCTGCAAACGTTCGATCTACCTAGTTTTAGCCTGTGTCTTGCTCTTTTGATTGTACTCAAGGATGCTCGATTGGTAGTTGTCCTTCTTTATTTGTTTTGCCGCGCGTATCTCCTCGTCGGCCTGCATCTGACGCCGCGCAGCCACACCCAAAACCTTTTTCCCCCTTTAAAAAAGAACAAAGGAAATAAGATTGATGGCAAGGCCGAGGATTTAAAAGTGACTCGAATTATGTATTGCTTTGTATGGCATCTGCTCTAATTATAGTATGACGCCGCTTCTGGAATCAACAGTAGCTGTTGCATTGTGCTCCCCGTAACAGAATACAATACGTGCTCAAGACATTTCCAATCAAAGTACTTACATATAGTATCAGGTTTAGGGTTTTGGGGGTTTAGGGCACGAATATGCCTCAGAGTGTGACTTGGGCACAAAAATATGCAAATCACAATTTCATCTCGTTACATTTTATGTAAGATCTGTTCAAGACAAAATTAAAAACATACCACACAATATCAGACAGCTATGCTCATGCGCACGACTACGCCTGCAGTGTGACTTTGTCACAATCAAACGTATCTGTAGTCATTTCGCAAACCTTCGATTGACATTGTAGTCGAATCGTTTCCACCGACAAGAATATGAGAATCCATAAGACTGCGTCTCGCTTAAGCATGCATATATGACACGCCCCTATAACCCAAAAATAGTGTGAGATTATATCGGTGTATTATACCTTTGCTCTCGGATCCGCTTTAATGCATCCGCACCCTGTTCTATATATGCCTGTTTCTCGCGCTCCTTTGTCTGCTTGATCCTCTGTCTTTGATCCATGCTGCTCCTTACTTGTGGTATCTTCTTGGACTGTACATAGAGAGAGAGGGAGGGGGGGGGGCAAGGGGTTAAAAACAGCAAACCTCGAACCTCGTCAAGATCATGGTGAGTATAAGGACAGGACCGATTAGTGTAACTGATTCGCATGTGCATGATAGATATATAATCAGTTTTCAATCAGAAACTCCCAGGCAATTGGCTCACACCGTCAGACACCGAACTGTTATGAACACCATGTCACACAATTGTCTAATAGTGTATCTACCCACCAAAACCAAAACCCGAACCTAACCAAGCTATAGCTATAGGTATATAAATATATAAAT